TGCATGTCTGTTTCTCTTATTTTAAAGATCACTCTGCCTTTATATTTTATCAGGTTTAATGATATCCATGTACCAATCCGCCTGGAATGTGTGAAATTTGCTAGCCATTGTCTCATGAACCATCCTGATTTAGCAAAGGACTTAACAGGTACTATATGCATGTGACAGCAAATATTCCTAGATGTTTTAGGAATATTTGGGAAAAAAAATCAGTTTTATAGAGGAAAAAAAACCTTGTGTTGTGATAGGTGAAGTCTTCCTTGTTTCAGTTCATCATGGTGGAAATTATTCTCTGAAACTAGAATTTTTATAGCATAGTTTGTACTTAAGCTAGAGGCATCTATAAAAAAGTCTGGGTCTTCAGGAGCAATATCAGTTTCTTAATTTAAGGGCAATTCTAAAAATATTCCTGGCATTTGGAATTGAACAAGTCTTAACTTTGACTTGATTATAAGACTCATTCTTGTTCTTTAATATTTTAAGAACCTAGGTGAGAGTAACGGTAAACTATTTTAACCATGTTAAATGGAGATAACTTTAAAATAAAAATCTGTGTAAGCATGGACATAGTTTAGAGCTTTTCATCTTTATAGTAATGAGAATATCATATCTATTACTGTTCATTACAGTTTTTGAGACTGAAATAGTTCAGGAAAATATAGATTAAAGTAACAGCCACTTACGTCTTCCTCACAATGTTAGCATTTGCAGTACATGCTTAAGAGATTAGAAAAAGATAATATAGATGTGGTTGAAATGCCCCTCACAAACTATTCTCCTTTCTGCATTTACAGAGGGCAAACACTACTGAATTTGGTCTGCATCCTGTTCATATTTTCATAACTATGCCACATGTGTATTTTTCTATAAATTATATTATTATCATGTGTTTGAAAAATTTCATTGAAATACCATTTGAATTTGATGGAGTTGAACTTATTTCTACTGTCTTATGTGTTTTCTCTTTTTCTTTGCTTTTTTCCTATTTTTCTCTCTTCGTTGATTACTTTTCTTTGTTCTTATTTTTCTTCTTTTTCTATGGGCCCAGAAGTTAAGTTACTCTCTTGTGTTTTCAATGCATAATTGATTAATGAAGTCTAAAGTTAATCAGAACTCTCTAGCTTTTTTCTGAGCAAAGACCCTTGAAATCGTTATCACACTCCCATCTTTCATGTTTTTTCAGTTATTATTTACCCTTTTAAAAAACCTTCCCAACTTGTATGTTTTTGACTGCTTTCTTTTTTTTACAGTCTTACTTACCATTGCTTCTTTTTTTTTTTTTTTTTTTTTTGAGACAGAGTCTCACTTTGTTGCCCGGGCTAGAGTGCTGTGGCGTCAGCCTAGCTCACAGCAACCTCAAACTCCTGGGCTCAAGCGATCCTACTGCCTCAGCCTCCCAAGTAGCTGGGACTACAGGCATGCACCACCATGCCCGGCTAATTTTTTCTATATATATATTTTTAGCTGTCGAATTAATTTCGTTCTGTTTTTGGTAGAGACAGGGTCTCGCTCTTGCCCAGGCTGGTCTCGAACTCCTGAGCTCAAACAATCCACCCGCCTCGGCCTCCCAGAGTGCTAGGATTACAGGCGTGAGCCACTGCGCCCGGCCACCATTGCTTCTTAAATCTTACTGAGTTTCTTCTGATAAGGAAAATCACAAAGTATATCCTCTATAATATTTTTAACAATAGTTCGTCATAGTAAAGCTTTCAGGTTTGTTGAATTCCTGTTGATCAGATCTAAAGCAGTAGGTATTTTACCAGTTTCATCCTTTTTGGAGGAGAATTCTCATTTCGATCTATCTTCCTACTCACATCTAGACTGCTTAGACTGCTTGCTCTGAGCTTCTGCTGTACAGCATTGATCTTAGGACCATCTATTCTTTCTCCCTTCTTTGTGCCCCCACCCCCACCCTTTCCTCCTCCTGTCTTTTCCTCTTCCTGTATGTGTGAATGTGTCTATTTCTCCCACCCCACTTCCCCTCCCCTCTTTTTTCCTTCCCTTTTCCTTTGGATGTTCCTTTTTCTGTAGCACCATTTTCTTGTGCTATTGATGCAGTATTTCTATGAGAGTATCAGTGGTGGTTTTTGAGGGGAAATTTTCTTTTTCCTTCAAAATGTCTCTAATTTGTTTTTCTACCTTTTATTTGCTTTTGTCTCTTTTTTCCATGTTAGAGGCTTTCCTCAAGTGCTTGGCAATCCATGGCTATCTGCTCATGATTAAGAGTGGAGGGCCTAATAAAAAACTACTTAGAAAGCTCTGAGTGTGTGAATGGGTCTGTTGACTCTGAACTTCACTTTAGGGTGATCAGGGTGGGCTGTTCATAGGGAAATCCTTAGTTTAGATACTTCTCTATTCCACCAGTCAGATTCCCTGGAGAAGAGTATCCTATCTGGAAGTTCAAGGCTAGTTGCTAGTGTCTTTGGGAAAAGGATAATGGTTTTCTGCTTTCACATTTCAGGTCAGTTGTCATATCCCCTTTTAGTATGTGGTATCCATGCCCTCAGCTGTATTTTGTGTCCCCCAGTTTAGAGACTCTCTGTTTGACATTTTTGATAGAATTCATCTCCAGACTTCTTTGGGAGTGGAATGGGAGAGCGGTAATCTACTATTAGGTTTGCGCAAAAGTAATTGTGGTTTTGGACTGTGAATTTTAAATCATTATAGCTAAGGCTCAGACACATCTTTATTAATCAAAATAGGAACCATTACAATCAACACATTTTTGTCAGAAATAAGTTTGTTTATTCCTTTTTTTTTTTTCTTAAGCATTGTTAAGCAGAATGTTTATTCCTGTAGTGTAAAAATCCGTGTTTCGAGATTTGACGAACCTTGGAAAGCATTTTCTGCATACTGCTGGTTGTGGAAGTGTTTTCCCTGCAAAAAGTTGTCGAGATGCTTGAAGAAGTGGTAGTGGGTTGGCGAGAGTTCAGGTGAATACAGTGGATGAGGCAAAACTTTGTAGCCCAATTCGTTAAGTTTTGAAGTGTTGGTTGTGTGATGTGTGGTTGGACGTTGCTGTGGTGAAGAATTGGGCCCTTTCTGTTGACCAGTGCCAACTGCAGGTGTTCCAGTTTTTGGTGCATCTCATAGATTTGCTTAGCATATTTCTCAGATGTAGTGGTTTTGCTGGGATTCAGGAAGCTGTAGTAGATCAGACCGGCAACAGACCACCAAACATTGACCATGACCTTTTTTTGGTGCAAATTTGGCTTTGGGAAGTGCTTTGGAGGTTCTTCTCAGTTCATCTACTGAGCTCATTGTTGCCGGTTGTCGTGGAAAATCCACTTTTTGTTGCTCATCACAATCCGATTAAGAAATGGTTCTTTGTTGTCGCGTATGGTAAGAGAAGATGACATTTTAAAATGATTTTTTTTGATTTTTGGTCATCTCATGAGGCACCTACTTATTGAGCTTTTTCACCTTTCCAATTTGCTGTGAATGCCAAATGACCATAGAATGGTCATTCAGTTCTTCAGCAACTTCTTGTGTAGTTGTAAGAGGATCAGCTTTAGTGATTGCGCTCAGTTGGTTGTTGTCAACTTCTGATGGCTGGACATCGCGCTCCTCATCTTCAAGGTTCTCGTCTCCTGTGCAAAACTTCTTGAACCACCAGTGCACTGTACGTTCATTAGCAGTTCCTGGGCCAAATACGTTGGTGATGTTGTGAGTTGTCTCCGCTGCTTTATGACCTATTTTGAACTCGAATAAGAAAATCGCTCAAATTTGCTTTTTGTCTAACATCATTTCCATAATATAAAATAAATAGAAAATAAACAGCAAGTAATAAGTCATTAGCAAAAAAACTTACGCTACAAATGAGGGCTTTATCCTTTCTGTGTATCTCATTCTGTAGAAGATTCTTTTTTCTTTCTCCTCTACCTGAAATACAGTAGCAGATCTTCTGAAGTTTTCACTGCTGGAAGGAGTGATAAAAGTATAAGAGTAATAAAGCAGACCTTGCTTTCATTTGGAAGAAGTAGGTTTTGATTTTTTTCAATCATCTTCAGTTATTTTCTTTCCATATACCATGTCCCATGTCAAATTCCCCCAACTTCATTCCTGACTACTCTGTTTTGCATGTGAACCTTACACTGTAGTGATTCTCAACCCCATCAGACCCAGTGCCCCCCCTTTAAATAAATGATTTGTAATCTTTTTTTTGATAACCTTAAAATTCATAGATTAAAAATCTACTTAATACAATTAAAATTAATATTATATCCTAATTTTAATATACAGGAGAAATAAAAGGAAAGTTGATTAAATAAAATAATGTATATTTTAATATGTAAATGGGCATGATATATAGAGATGATAACAAATGTCTCCACAAGTTTCTCCCGTGCTCACTTATTTTCTGCTATAGGGGGATATGGAAAGCTCTGTAAATCCTGTTTGGTAGGTCATTTGGATGGCTATCTGAATGGTTAAACTGAGATTTCTGTATTTTGGGGAAAATCTCAGACTCTGTTCTATCCTTCAGTTTCCTTTTTTTAACTTAAAAATGAGGTATAATTAACTTGTAATAAAATGCACAGATCTTAAGTGTTTACTTTGATATGTTTGATGAGACAACAAATTTCCATGATCCCAGAATGTACCTTTATATCCCATTCCAGTAAGTCCCCCCCTCAACTTTCTGACTTCTTTTACTGTAGCTTAGTTTTAACCTGTTTTTGGACTTCATATGTTTTGAATCATACAGTGTGTATACTTTTTGAGGGTGGGGTTGGGGGATCTATTTATTCTGTATTATTAGTTTATTCTTTCTTGTTAAGTAATAGTATTCCATTATATGAATATACCATAATTTGTTTACCCGTTTTTCTTTTTGGTGGATATCTGAGTAGTTTTTGGTTTGGGGCTATTATGATTAGCATTACTTTGAGCATTCTTGTATAAGTGTTTTTTGTGGGCTTATGTTTTTATTGCTCTTTGGAAATAGTAGTGAAATTGCTGGTCATAGAGTAGATACATGTTTGTCTTTATAAAAGACAACTAAACTGTTCTCCATATTTGTTACACTATTTTGCATTGACCAGCAATGAATGAGAGTTACAATTCAGCATTCTTTACAACATTTTGTTTTGTCAGTCTTTTTGATTTTAGCCATTCTTGTAGGTCTTGATATTTTGTCGTGGTTTTAATTTGCATTCTCCTTTTGACTAATCAGATTTAGTATCTCTATATGTGCATATTTATATATGTCTTTTATGAAGCATCTGCTTAAATTTTATGCCCATCTTTTTTAAATTGTGTTCTTTTTTTCTTATTGATTTGTAGTAATTACATATCTTTTCTTTTTTAAAGAATTAAAAATTTTAAATATTTTTTCCATATTCAGACATTAATGTAGGGTTTACTATTGGCTAAATAAGTTGATGTTTTTATTTTTTTCATAACTTGCCTAGAATATACTTCAGATGTGAATAATTTCACCAATAACCTTTAGTTTTTATTATTTTGAATGTTTTGCTTATATAAAGATACAGTTTCAGTATAATGGAACATTTATATTGATATGTTCTATGATTTCCTATTCCTCATCCTGTTTGAGGTTGGCTAACAGGCAGCTCTGAAAAATCCAGTGGTCTTGCTACTCTTTATGCACATTTTCAGCTGCTGCTTCTGTTTTCAGCTACAGTCATCATTCTTTTCTCTTGGTGCCTTGAATTTCCAAACATTTTCAGGGTTCTACTCCGAATATGAGCTTGTTTATTAATTTCTTTCCCATTTGGATTTCTTCTCTTTCCTTTGTCTTGTGGCATTTACCAGTCCATCTGCCAAAATTTTGTTTGACAGATCTCTTTAGTTGTGATCTTTTCTCTTGTTATTTGTCCCTTTTAAGAAACATTACAGTAGGATTTCAGTAGTGAACAGATAAATACGTTATACACACAACACACACATCTTACTTTTGCTAGAATGTGTTTATGAGATTCATCCTTGTACCTTCAGCCACCTACCTATATTATAAAGAGTATTAGCAGATGCTTTGTCGTGCTAACTGTAGAGAATTTCTTCTTTCTTGTACATTATCTCTTCTTCCTTACAGTTAATATCTGTGAGTTAATAGCTCTTGTGTATGTATACCTGTTGAACATGAGTGACTGGTTTTAGGGAAATTGGGTTAATATCTTAAAGTTGATGATGTGGTATTAGTGTTTTTCTTTCTTAATGATACGTAAAATAATATGTATTGCATTTGAAACAAGTACAGTTGAGGTATAAAACTCCTGTATTTATCTTGGTGGGGAAATGAACTTCAGATGTATTTAACATGTTCCATTTGAAATCATAATACTAAAAACTTTATTTGGTTAGGTAAAATAACATTTACATTTCCTTGGAAGTTTTTTTTTTTTTTTTTAAAGGAACATATGGTCTTTCTCATTTTTAGAATAGTTCCTATTAGTAGAGAATGCTGAAGGCAGAGGAACTTAAGACCTGAGCAGTGGTTTTTGGATATTTCTGTTTTAATTATTTGTTAAACTGTTAGTAAATCTACTCATAATCACTGTTTATATACTGTTTGTGTATAGGCATGGCTATTTTTTATTAGCCCAAATTCAAACAGCTAAATTTTGTCTTAACTGTTTTGGAAATAAAAAAGATGAATAATATTTTATTTGTTAAATTTGTGCTTAGTTGTGGTACTTCTTCATTAAGCCTAAGATACCATTACTGAAATTTGTTTAATTGTTTTGTTTTTTTTTTTTTCCAGCTAACTCCGTGCCAGGTGTGAACTCCATGTTTTTTACTTTAAGAAACCTATTCCAGTCACTCATAATTGTTAAATCTGTTTTATTTTTTCTGTCTTCCTCTTGGCTTTTCTTAGTTCAGTTAAGTGGAATTGCCTTGTGGTCTTCTTTGTCCTATTTCTTGGCAGCCACTGTCTCAGTTTTATTCTTTCAGTAACCTCAATCAGAGTTTCCCCAGTTGAGGGGTAGAAACTTGAATACTGTAGCCTTTTCTCAATAGTATACTTGACTCAATAGTATACTGACTATATTTTATCCATTTAAATGAAAAACAAAAATGAAATGTCAATATCCCTCTTGGTTCATTTATATAGTTTGTTTAATTGAGGTTAGGAATGCCTTAATCAACTTTGTGTCCACCAAATGTGGAAGGGGATTTTACTACTTAGTCGGTTGTTAACTACTGTATTTTGATTGAAGGACTGATCTTCCTCTTCCTTTCTTCCTTCTGTTTCTTTCCTGGCTCTTAGTTTTCTTGAAACATTGAACCTTCTACTTAGGTTTTGTTTTTGCTAAGGTTTATTTTCATAGCTCTTATGCAGTCTTTAAAACATTTTAATTGTTAAAGTTTCCATTTTAATCAAAGAAAATTTATCTTTCAGAGTATCTCAAAGTGAGGTCACATGACCCTGAGGAAGCTATTAGACATGATGTTATTGTGTCTATAGTTACTGCTGCTAAAAAGGATATTCTTCTGGTCAATGATCACTTACTTAATTTTGTGAGAGAGAGAACATTAGACAAACGGGTAAGTAAATAAGAATAAATAATTATTACCGGTTTTCATTTTTAATACTTGGAGTTTAACAGTATTTCAGTTGAAAATACTGAATTTTAAATGTCAGCCTTTTTTTGGCGGTGGCAGGAGGAAGCATTTTAGTATTTAAAATGACATTTATAAGACCGTTTTACTTTCTGTTACATTAAATTTTATTAGTTTTTCTTTATTTAAGATTATTTATTCTCCTAAAAGTAAGATGGCTCTTAAAGGTAGAGTAGTCAGATGTTTAGCTTGCACACCAGTTTTAATGATAAGGGACTTTCGTAAGGGCCTCCGACACAGCTTCTCTTATGTTGGCTGTTTTCTTTCTCTCTTTCCTTTCAACGCTATTGTTGTATGAGTATGAGTTGGTAGTCCTCTAGTTGGTTGTATTATAATTAACATGGAATAGAAAGATGTTTTCAACTTGGCAAAGCTAAACCCAACAGAGCGGCATGATTCTAGCCTATCTTCTGTGACTTCAGCTTTCTTGAATGAGCATCTGCTAACTCCATTAGTTAATCTGAGCTTCTGAAGACAGGACTGTGACGTGTTATGTTTGTATTCCATATTGCGTAGAAATATTTCAGTGAATGTTTGTTCTACCCTTCTCTTGATTGCCTTTTGTTCATGGTGTGGGCTCTGCTTAGACTTATGAATAATTTTGGTGAAAGATGAGACTCTTTGATTTATTTAGGGGTTAATTAGCAAACAAAACAGGAGGCCTATTGGTAGCTGGGAATAGCTTTGACTAGGAAATACTTTAAAACATTTTAATGATGTTATAAGGTTGATTATGCTGTTTTCATTGTTTTAATTCTCTATTTTATAATGCTGGTTATGTAGGTAGAGGATAAATGGGCAGGAATTACATGGTTTTCCCTCTAAATCTATAAGCATCCAGGATAACTTATTTTAACTGATAAATTTAGACTTATCTTTATTGACTATTTCATTGGGGTATTCATCATGAAAAGGGCCAAAGGCATAAAGAAGGAAAAATGTATTTATATCATGTATAGGATAAAAGTATTAAAATACTCTTAGCTAGACTTAGAATTTGAGGTAAGTTTTTGTGTATTGTTGGGATCATAATGTATATTTTTGATCATCATAGGGTTGCTTTGTTCATTCATATAGAAATTGAGCACTGAAAAATAATTGACTATATACATGTGCTTGGCAATATTAGAACATGATGTATCTTTTTTTTTTTTTTTTTTGAGACAGGATCTTGCTCTGTTGTCCTGGCTAGAGGGCAGTGGCATCATCATAGCTCACTGCAACCTCAAACTACTGGGCTCAAGAGATCCTCCTTCCTCAGCCTCCCAAGTAGCTGGGACTATAGGCGCATGCCACCATGCCCAGCTAATTTTTTTACTTTTTGTAGAGACAGGGTCTCAGTCTTGCTCAGGCCGATCTTTAAACCCCTGGGCTCCAGGGATCCTCCAGCCTCTGCTTCCCCAGAGTGCTAGGATTACAGGTGTGAGCCACTGCCCCCAGATACATGATATGTCTTTAAATTCTCTTTGAAACAGCAATCCAGGGAATTAAGAGTTAGAGATAACATAGTGAGTGAGTTAGTGAAAAAAAATTTTACAAACAAATTAAAATGAGTAAGACTTTTAAAAGTATTTTATTTCAATATGTAGTTGGTGCATGAATGAGATAAGGACTATTCTTAATCTACTGTAAGTAATTGAAACAAAAACCAAGGGAAGAATATTGCTATGAATGACAGATCACAAAGGAAAAAATAATCTCTCCAGATTCATTATATTCTAAACATTACTAACTTCCTATTGATTATAGTGCTGTTTATGTAAAATTAAAGAATAACTCTAAGATACATAAGCAGTGTTAGATACACTATAGAAAATATATGTTTGTTTAAAAAAATAGTTGAGTACATTTCCCTTATACTTGAATTTGATTCTCAGATGTATAGAATGAACCACTGATGTGTCTTTGCATTCAGCACTTGATAAAGGCAATATCATATATGTCTTATCACATCTGAATTACTATTGATACAGTACAAATATGCTCAGTGTAGACCATAACTTAGAAACAAATTATGAGGAATAGGTCACTGAGTATCCATTCAATTCTGTCTTTGCCTTTTAAAATTTGGTAGCTTGCTTTTTCTTGCCAATTTTAAGTGACATAGATAGTGATTAACTTTTGTTTTTAGGGGTAGGCGATGGGTTTTAGATATAAAAGCATTAAAGTTCTTCATACATATTGATATCTCTCCTGTACTTTACATAGTAGAAATATTTATGTGATAGTTGTGTTTTTCATAAATATAATAATTATAAATTTATATGTGGACCACTTCTACAGAAATACTCTGTGTTTTTATATGGCTGTTCTTATTTTTAAAGTGACAGAACAATCATGTCCCCATCAACATATTATTTAAAAAATATAGCTAGGCTGGGCATGGTGGCTCACGCCTGTAATCCTAGCACTCTGGGAGGCCAAGGCAGGAGGATTGCTCAAGGTTAGGAGTCAAGACCAGCCTGAGCAAGAGTGAGACCCTGTCTGTACTAAAAATAGAAAGAAATTAGCTGGACAACTAAAAATATATAGAAAAAATTAGCCGGACATTAGCGCATG